ATATTGAGCATTGAGCACATTATAAAACAAAAAATTAACTTAAATATGTTATAAATACATTTACTTTACTTCTGGAAATGCACAGAAAAATTATGTAGAGTTCTATGCTATTACAATATTTATTTTGTACTACTTTTATTTTTGTATATTTAGATAAAAATAAAACTTAATTCAGGTGTGAATTATTTTTGTATTGGATTAGAATTAAATATAATATCCTTTGTGGAAATGAAAGCAGTCATTGAAAATAATCTAAAGTTAGTTTTGAATTTTATTTAAGAATTATTAGTTATAACATATGTCAATTAAATTGAGTGTTGGTATAAAAGTGTCATATAAATGTTTTTGTTAGTCAATATAAAACTATTAATAATCATATTTTATTGAAATATAACACGAAAATATTATTTTAAAAATGAGCAAGTAAATTCGTTGACTTTGGAAAGTAAATAATAGTTATTTAAAAATACTATCCCTTAAAGATGATTAAATCATAAGATGTTCTCGTTCGAATAATTTCTTAAATTTATCAATAACTTCAAATTTAGAATTAAGTGATTTTGTATAAAACTGATAATGGATCAAACTTTGTATCAATGGCATTTGTATCAATTTTTGATAATCTGAAAAATTTAGATTAGAAATATGATAATGATATGATTAAAAGTATTTTTAGCCTATACATAGAATATATGCAAGTTATTTTTTAATTTAATTGCAACCTCAAATATTGAAACATTTTTTAATAGCCTAAATTATTCAAGTTTTAAAATCTAATAAAAATCAACTCATTTAAATTCATAAAATATTTTAGTTTAGGGATTTTTGAACTTATCACAAAAGATATAAAATTAAAAATTGAGTATTAAAAAAATGACCGAACACCTTTCATTAATTAGATGACTCATATTTCAATTTTCTTCAAAATTAATCTATGAAATTGAAGATGAGTATTATAGAAATATGATCTACCAATAAATATTAAAAATCTTTACTACCCTAACATCTTAAATTCTCAACTATTTATGCATAAATGTATTAGTAGAATTTTTATTGATGATTTCATCAAAGAGTTGGGTTGGGTTACCTATAAATTTTTTTTGTGCTATAAAATTAATTATAAACTACTAATTGTAATAATATAGTATTAGGTTTTCTTTATCTTGAATAAATAAACAAAACTGAAA